CTGATAAAACGTAGGACACTTTATACCAGATGTAATAAAAAATACTTTGCTAAACCTTTTCTGCTGTCAGTCCTTTGCATTTAAGGGGAGGGGTAAATGGCGATAGAATTTATAGGAGATGCTGTGCAATATTTTGGCTTCAACAAACAGGTACTCATGCAGATCGACAAAAAAGGAAATTCATGCAGTTGTGAATTGTCGCATGTCAGCTGTGCACTGTCGATTTCAAACAATTTTGTACGTTATATTTTGTCTTCCTGGTGTTTAACATAAACGATGATAACCTTTTAAAAAAAATCTAGAGCAATATGTCTATAAACAGTTTTAGAATCAATAAAATGGACATTCAATGTGTATTTGGCTTGTGTCCAAATGTGTCACGTTTAAGACCAGGCGCTAATCCTACGACCTATAAACAGACGCTTTTGAGACATCTGTTTAAAAAATTTATACCGTGTCCATATCAGAACAATTCATTGGCATATTATAAGCATATTATAAATATCAGAGCCAGAACAGAAACATACGCTTGAAATGAAACTACGCCCGAACCGGCGAACTCCGAGAAAATAAAAATATTTCAAAGCGTACAGTCATACGTTCTCGTTGCTTGATTTCCTGAATTTTCTGTTGCTGTAAGAATCTGCATTTTAGCATGTTTGTATAATTTAAAAGCAAACAGAAACCAATTTAGCAAGTAGTTTGAAGTATATATGATTCTCGAAGATGAATTAGATGATTGTACAGAACGGCCACTCCTTGCAATCGAAGTGCGAAGTGCGGAAGTGGAAACATGTAATATGAGACTTTTCCATCCCCCCTTCGGCTATCAATTTTCTATGTGTGACGTCATCAGCCCCGACCAGGGTCTTTGCTTCCCAAGAGCAAAGAGCATGGGAACGAGGTTGAGAGGGCATGCAACATGTACGCACTTCGTACCTATTTTTAACCGATTTTTGTTGCGATATGAACGTTTTGATATTATTAAGATTTTTATCGGTGGAATTTTAAGTATAACCAATCAAATTTCATGCTGTGATCACGTGCTTGTATTTATTTGGCAACATGCATGGCGGCTACAGTTCAGGGAGCATATATAAGAAAAATCTATTGTGGCCACAATAACTATTAAATGTTTTGTTGATATTTGTGTTTTGTTGATATTTTGATTATGGACATGGTGTATTGAAAGTGATTTTACATATCCGTTTCACTGTAAATTAAGTTGTTTCCTCGCTAAGATGTGCCAATCGAGGCAGCAATTTCCTTGCGACAGTAACTCCTAGTAATAAGAGACGAAATTTACATAATTTCAGTCAATTTTCATAAACACTGCTGCTAGATCAGAAAGATCCAGCAACGTCATGGACCTTTCCGTGCATACGATTAGCCTGAACGGTATGATCGATAAAAAAATCCAGCTAACGGGGATTCATAATTTTTTTTAATTAGCCAATCGGATAACCTGTATTCGAGCCCCTGATCACTTTAGCGAGAAAAATCGCAAAAATCGAGATACGCAATCAGATGGCTGGAATCTGACTCAGAGCGTGCAAAACTCATGCGTAAGACCGCTTTTCTGCGCGTTAATGTTCGAAGGCCTTGCGACTGGATGATATCCTAAACTTTCAATACAATACACTGCGCGAAGTTTGATAACTGAACTGCTATTTTAATTTGACAATTTTTTGGCCAATTTTTACCTTAGTCGCGTGATCGCTCTGATCACCCCTAGAACCGCCCCTGGGTGTAACAATATTGTTCAACATTGTTGACAACTGTGAAAATTGTGGGCAGCACAACATTGTTCAATCCTGTTTACATCAATATTCCAACAACCTGATCGTTTTTAGCCGTGTACGGATGAGAATAAAACGTGTACGAAATCTTTGCGCGCCTATAATGACGCACTAGCTTCATGTAAACCTTTTATATAGTGACTCGTATGCATTATGCATTGAATCTTTTTATAACGTCTGGGAACGAGGCAGTACGACATCCAAATCTTTGAACAAATGCTCAAAGTCGAAAAAATATTTCAAAAAATAACAGAAACGACGAGAACTTACTGAGAAAACTCCAAAAAGCAAGAAATGTTTTTACCAAAACCAGGGGGCGTGAAAATTGTTGTAGGCTCAGAATTTAGCCTGATCAGTGGTAATTATCATGAGCCCAAGGAACCAGTTGTCATGGAAATAGAGTCATAAGGCGCGAAAATTGGCCATGTTTTCCAGTGACGGCGGAACAGGAGGGGGGGGGGG